CCCGCCACAACGCCTGGCCATTTTTTGGTTGCAGCCATCATTGTTGTTTGGTGGGCCCGGGCTGGGGATTCGAACCCGACACCTTAGGTGTATGTGGCTGGCGCCTTAGCCGCTTGAGCCACAGGCGCTGAGCCTCTTAATCTATTTTCAACACTGTAGATAAACTATATATACTGCCAAAGCTTTTGCAAGCAGAGATATGGAAAGAACAGAGTATAATAAAGTGCTTCTCGCAGCAGCACAGTGCTAAGAAACACAGATTTCTGTGCCATTTCTCAACTCAACACTGGCTCTGCTAGGCTGGATAAATTCACAGCAATCTTCTCTCCCTATAGAGAGTAGCAATCTTACTACCCTATAAGAGAAAAGGAAAATAAAGAGGAATGCACTAAAATCTTTCAGGTTCTATCCTCAGAAACTCAAACGCGAGGTAGGAGCTACCTTTTTCTCAGTGGCTGCAGGCAGGCTTGTATACAAAGTCGGTGTAAAGAAATCTGAAACACCAGTGGGAAAAAGCCATTTTGGTGTGGTGCCTGCTGCTTAGAACAGGCCAAAAAGAGTGGCAATGACAGGAAGGAGGGGGTCCTGAGGGCCTGCATGACAATACCTTAGGAGTCCCATAGTCTAGAGAAGTCTATTTTCTCACAGATGTCTTTAAACTGGCTTAAGATGAAATGCTGAGGGTATAAACCTTTTTTGTTTTTAAAGCGGCAGAATAAAGGTCTCGATACTGCTTTTTTCTGGGCTAAGTTACAGCCAGTGATGTTGACTCAAAGCAAAACACCTGATAAGACAAATACAAGACCTGTACCAACTTGCCACATAGACCAGGGACTAGAACTCCGAGGCAGCCAAGAGAAGAGGAATAAGAAGCACTAAAAGCAGATTTCAACTTCTCCCACCTCCATCCTTTATGTTTACTTATCGTTCAGGATCAAATGACTCTGGTAAAATTACATCCTCAAAAGTTAACATGCCTCTTTTTCCCCCCAAAAGCAAACTATACTATTCAAATATCAAGTACCATTATTACAGTACCCCACAGCACCCCCCACATCCTCCCACACTCAGCCCTCACTTACATATACAGGCAGCAGCGAGGAGACGGCAGGCCAGGTAGGGTGGATCACAGGTGGGGAAGGAGGGCTGGATGATGTAGTTGGCAAAGGTGATGGCAATGATGGCCTGACTGGTAGGCTCAACAATTAGCAGTGAGGCCCAAAGACGGATGAAGGCAATGAAGCCCCCAAAGGCCTCTAGAATATAAGCATAACTGGCTCCAGATTTGGTGATGGTAGTCCCCAACTCTGCATAGCAAAGGGCACCCACAACAGAGAAGAGCCCACCAATGGTCCACACAACCAGTGACAACCCATAGGAGGCAGTGTATACCAGCACACCCTTGGGTGAGACAAAGATCCCTGAGCCGATCATGTTGCCCACCACCAGGCTAACCCCATTCAGCAGGGAGATCTCCTTCTTCAGTTGCATAGTTTCTCGGGACTTTTGAGGTGATGAGCCCACATCTTCTTCCATCTTAGGTGGGCTGGCCTCAGGAATGAGATGGTAGGTGGGTGTGGAACTCCCAAGCTCCTTGGCTTCCATGGCAAATGCTTCCTGCACACCTGTGTTTTCTATGGCCAAAGAACACAAGTATATCAGTCTAGGGCAGGAGCTGGTGAGGCTCTGGTTTAGACCAGGTTTCCCTGCCCACCTCCTATCTAGGAACAACATGTCATGCACACAGCCCGAAATATAATAGGCCTTCCCCAGTTCCCACCATAGGACACAGGAGAACAGATCTTCACTGCTCCTAAGAAAGATACCATGACAGCTCAGGCATGATGTCATGACAGCCTCCAACGAGAGGTACCTATCTTGGTGCCCAGAGTAGGCTTGCATTAGGTTTCCATAGCCTGATTCTCCCTGAGGTGACTTATGTTCTCTTCTTACCAGCTTAAAACCTATAAACCTGCCTGACAGAAGACCAGAGTCCCTGTACCAGGGACTCAGCCCTCACCAACCTAAAAGACCACTCAGTGTCCATTCTCAGGTAATCCTGCCCACTCACTTCATCCGGAACATAAACAGGGACTTCTGCAGTGTCCAGCCACATGTAGAGACATCTGTGGCTATTTTCAGACAGGTAAAAAACATAAATAAGTTGTGGGAAGGGCTAGGAAGATGCTAAGAAAAGATCATGTCACTACTACAAAGGCTACACCAAGGAAAGGTCCCTCATGAATATCACACCTGAGTATCACCATATCTCCAATACTCACCTTGGTCCCCAAACTGCTGCTTGTCCAGTCCACACCTTTCTTTCCCCAAAGTACCCAGAAGAAAGGGATTACATAATCAGAGAAGAAGGAGAAAGGACTTCTAGGGGACACTCTACCTGTGGCTAATTTGCCATAATCAGTCAAAGGAAAACAAGCAACTTCTTTTTTTTTTTTTTTTTTTTTTGAGACGGAGCCTCAAGCTATCCCCCTGGGTAGAGTGCCATGGCATCATGCTCATAGCAACCTCCAACTCCTGGGCTCAAGCGAGTCTCCTGCCTCCGCCTCCCAAGTAGCTGGGACCACAGGCGCCCGCCACAACGCCCGGCTATTTTTTGGTTGTAGTCGTCATTGTTGTTTGGCGGGTCCAGGCTGGGGATTCGAACCCGCCACCTTAGGTGTACATGGCTGGCGCCTTAGCCGGTTGAGCCACAGGCGCCGAGCCACAAGCAACTTCTTGACCCTGAACCCAGTATGACCTTCCCCTTCCCTAATTCTTGTACCCATCAGTCTTCAGATACCCTGATCCCACCTCACCTTCTGGAGAAAGGAATCTAGTGAGCCATTTAATTCCCACTCACAAACCAGTCCTTTAAGGTCACAGGTATAACTTCCAAGGATAAGAAAAGGATCAGTACCTCATCTTGCCAGGAATCTTTTATCTATTCAACAAAGTTGTATGTGCCAGAACCTGGCCTCATGGAGCTCAAAAAAAGGGAACTAAGGCCACTCGAGAGTGACTCCTACCCTACCTGTCCCAGACCCCTACCAGAATCTGGACCCCAGCCCAAGGGAGAAAACTCCTCTGGGATACTAGTAAGCCTTCCCCAGCCCCAGAGGAGTTGAGGCAGCCTACCTCTGCTTAGAGACTGAGCTTTAAGGCAGCACCACTTTTCCTTTCACTCCTGGCACCAAGCCCACAAATTTCCCTATGCAGGCATGTGGAAACAAAGTTGTTTTCACCACGTGTCTGTCAGGTGAGCCCAGGCATCCATGGGAACAAATCTAATGAACAGCTAGAAAGTCTATATGTTCATGCAAGAGTCTGGTGCAAAGGCGGGGAATGGGTGGAGGGAGGGGGATTCAAGGGTTCACTTTTGCGGTTTATCTTACAAGGGTACAAGCGAATCTTTCCATGAGTAGAATATGAACATTTTAACACAATAACTAAGAAAATTACATGAAGGGTATGTTAACCAGTTTGATGGAAGTGTTTCAGATTGTGTGTGAAAACACCACACTGTACCCCAGAAGTGCATTAATGTACATAGTTACCATTCAAAAAAAAAAAAAAAAAAAAAAGAGTCTGATGCAAAGAGACCTGGATTGTCTTTTCTACCCAACTCAAAAGAGACAAGCAGAGAAACCCAACTCCAGTGACCACTCTAGCTTCCCCTAGTTAATCAGACCCTCGCTGATGGGAGGGGTTGGAACTACTGGGTATTCATCCCTTTTGTACAGCCTGGCACTGCTGTCTGTTATGGCTTTATCAAGTTTGTCTTATACACTGATAAAACTACCCAGTGGCCTTTTTAAAAGAAGTAGGGCACAGTCACTGCCCCCACAAGACCTCTTGCTTAGGATCTCTGTCCCAGCACCTGAATGAGGGACAAGGTCCCAACTGAAAGGTGAAGGACTCTTCCTTTAGCCAAAGAGAGAGGCAGCATCACATATAACCAAGGGCAGACGAGGTCTCTTTCTTTTCATTCAGTAACACAATGCAACTGTCACCAAGAGCCTGTCAAAGTAAAGTCCCTACCTCTTTGCTAAACACCCAAGAACAGAGTGGTAATGTAACTTCAGCAGCTCCTTGAGGACAGATGAATGAGTCCCAGGCTGGACTGGCCACATAAACCTAAGGCCACTCCTCACCTCCCTTATACATCTAAACCTTACATCACACACCTCTATGAAATCTGCCAAGAACCTACATTATGCCAGGCTCTGTGCTGGGTGTGACAAGTTCCCAGCCCATCTCCCAGGCTCCCTCCTTCCCCCCAGGGTTGATTCTGAGAATAGGCTTCAGAACAAGGAAGCATGAAAAGTCCCAGGTTCAAGTTCCCTGTAGACAAATGGTGGGAACTGCCAGGCTGTAACTCCTAAGCTGTAACTCCGCCGTTCCACTTCTGTACCCACCTGCTTGCCCAGCTGCGTGCGGAAAAAAAGAAAAAAGTATATAAAAGGACAGCTTGCTTTTCACTGGGCTGCCAACTGCCTCTCAGAGCAGTGGCCCCCTGCTCAGGTGAAATAAATTACCAATTAATTACATCTAAGTGGGGTCCAAGTCTAACTTTTCCAGTCGCGATGGTTACAACACTGGGGACACAGCAGTGAACAAGATTGGTGGGGACCTCCTAGAACAAAGACACGATATGGCAGCATGGAAATGACACTGACATGAGATCAGAAGCTCCACAGGCAGAGAACTCACCAACCAGTTAGCTGTACCTCACCCTTCTCTGACCTTTAGCTTTTCTGGAGGTAAGAGTAAGATAATAGCTACCTTCCCAAACAGCCTCACTGATCTGTTGTGAGCAGCCAATTAGACAAAACTTACATAAAACATAAGGCCTGGCTAGGCGTGGTAGCTCCCTCCTATAATCCTAGCACTCTGGAAGGCCAAGGAGGGAGGATTTTTTGAGTTCAGGAGTTCATGACCAGCCTGAGCAAGAGTGAGACCCTGTCTCTACTAAAAACAGAAAAACTAGCCAGGCATGGTGGCGGGCACCTATAGTCCCAGCTACTTGGGAAGTTGAAGTAGGAGGATCACTTGAACTTAGTAGTTTGAGGCTGTAGTGAGCTATAATGATGCCATGGCACTCTAGGCCAGAGCAATAGAGTTAGACTCTGTCTCAAAAAAAAAAAAAAAAAAAAGTGAGGCCTTCCTCAGTGGGGTTAACATTGCTAAAAGACAAATTCTGAAAATAAGGATGAAAAGGAGAGCAGTAAACTCATTTCACTGGAAGATAAAATCTAGTATAAAATGAAAAGTCCTCAGGCCAGGCATAGTGGCTGACACCTGTAATCCCAGCAATCTGGGAGGCCTAGGCAGGTGGATAGCATGAGCTCACAGTTCAAGATCAGTTAGAGCAAAAGCAAGACCTCATGTCCACTATAAATAGAAAACTGAGGCAAGAGGATCACTTGAGCCCAAGAGTTGGAGGTTGATGTGAGCTATGACACCACCACACTCTACCCAGGGTGACAGGTTGAGACACTATCTCAAAACAAATAAACAGGGCAGCGCCTGTGGCTCAAAGGAATAGGGCGCCCACCCCATATGCCGGAGGTGGCGGGTTCAAACCCAGCCCTGGCCAAAAACTGAAAACAAACAAACAAATGTTTAAAAATAAAAAATCCAGAAGGCACCTGTGGCTCTGTGGATAGGGCACTGGACCCATATACAGAGGGTGGCAGGTTGGAGCCCGGCCCTGGCCAAACTGCAACAAAAAAATAGCCGGACTTTGTGGCAGGCGCCGTAGTCCCAGCTACTCCAGAGGCCAAGGCAGGAGAATCACCTAAGCCCAGGAATTGGAGGTTGCTGTGAGCTGTGACACCACAGCAATCTACCAAGGGAAATAAAGTGAGACTCTGTCTCTAAAAAAATAAAATAAAATAAAAATAAAAATAAAAGTTAAAAATCTTCAACTTCTAGTTCCCACTGAAGATGTAGAAAGCTGGGAAGGCACCACTCTCACTCCAATGACAAGAAAAGCCAGATAATCTATAAACCATAATTTTTCTCGAAGCTATCAGAAAGCAGAGGTTAGGCTGGATGCCCATAGCTTAGTGGTTAAGTGCCAGCCACATGCTCCAGGGCTGGTAGGTTTGAAACCAGCCCAGGCCTGCCAAACAAAAACAAAATAGCTGGCCCGGCTCCTGTAACTCAGTGGTTAGGGTGCCAGCCACATACACCAGGGCTGGCAAGTTCAAACCCAACCCAGACTGGCTAAACAACAACAACAACAACAACAAAATAGCCAGGCGTTGTAATTACAGGCAGGCACCTGTAATCCCAGCTACTTGGGAGGCTGAGGCAAGAAAATTGCTTGAGCCCAAGAGTTTGAGGTTGCTGGAGCTATGATGCCACAGCATTCTACCAAAGGTGACAGTGAGACTCTGTCTCAATAAAAAAAAAAAAAAAAAGGAAGCTGAAGGTAACCAACTAGACTGACACTACCTCATTGGAGCTATCTGATGGAAAGATGGAGAAGCTACCTCCAGTGAAAGAGAGATACAAGCTCTACCTCACCTGTGCAGTGGGAGAACAACAGCACCTATCATTGAGGAGGGTGAGAAGAATTGAGGTACAATTTTAGCGAATTACCAAATGTCAAATACTGGTTAGGAGAAGC